CCTGACAGCTTTCCGATAGCCTTACTTGATGAAACCCCGATTTCGCATCAAGTTTCGAGAAGACCGCGGCATTGCCAAGACGGCCAAGTATCTGGTCCACTGTGGGCATAAGGTGTCTCTCCCGAAGAACTACTTGGTTCAACTTCGTGAGGTCAACACAAATTCTGTATTCGCCATCGGCTTTGGGTACCAGCACAATACCAGCTCACCACGGGGTTGGCACTGTGACTCGCCGAATGACCCCGTCCCTTTCCATGGCATCTAAGTCCTTCTTGACTACGCCTTCGAGGGAAATAGGGATGCGCCTAGGAACGCTGAGAGAAAATGGAATCGCTCCCGGCTTGATACGAATGTGGTATTCTTCAGGCATCTCGCCAAGGCCCAAGAACAGCGAAGCTGTGGCCTTGTCTGACGTTGGGGGCCTATTCGGAGCTTCCGCATCTTCCACGGTGTCAACAAACTGAACGACTCCCAGGTCCACTACCGCCGAGTACCCCAGCAGAGGAGAGTCAATGTCTGCTACAATGTACAACGTTTTGCATACCGACCAGCCTCGCCACGACAGGATAGCAGGAAACGTCCCAAGCAACCTTAGGCGCAGCGGCCAGGCCCCGTCAACCGTTCATTATTGGGTTTGTCAAGGTCTACTGGGCACCCGGTGAAGCTCGGAGGTACGACCGAAACGTCCGCCCCAGTATATCCACTTTGAATTGAAGGGGGCGTCCGTTGACATGAACAACAACGTGCCGGCGTTCTGTTTGCGAGGCATCCACGGCGCAGAGCTGGATTTGGCTTAAACGCCTAGTATTATTCGAGCGGCAAACCGCCGCGAAGTGTCCCTTCTTGCGACATTGGTTGCATGTGGCCCACCGTGGAGGACAGTCCTGAGGCGAAGGAGTAATCCTCGAATTGTTGAAGCCACGCCGTCCATTGGGCTGGGTTGTCAAAAGTGAACAGCAGCGGAGTTCGCATTGTGAAGCTGGCGGTCACGGCAGCTGGGTTATCCTGCATGTTGCACGGTTGTCGCAGGATCCCACTTCTGACACCATGTAGTGACGTGCCCGGGTAGCGCGGACGCCGCTAGCCGAGCCAAAAGTTGGTGTGAAGCCCGCGAAGAATGACCCGACAACGCGTAGTTCACAAACAGCAAAAAAAACCGTTTATTGCCCACCGATGCATTTTATACAGAGTGGGGGCGCCACCTCCCAGTTACTAGAAGCAACAGGTGGCGTCCTCTACAGGCTAGGTTTTCTTTTTTTTCAAGTCCTAATTTGTTTGAGATAAAACTACAGCGAATTCAAGACGCTCATGTTTGGAACATTTAAGTAGACTTTCCAGCTGCCCCTTTGCATAGTTGCCACTGCAATTGCGCCGCACATAAGTGACGTGATGCATTTTCCGGTTAGGTGCTTTGTCTAAATAGTCGGGAGTGTGTAGCGGGACGTCTAGACATAACGATAAAAGCCAATAAAATTACGTCTAAACAAAAAAATGAACAAAAATGTTATTTAGGTTTAGCGTGGCAACAATACAAAACCAGCTTGTTTGTCATCTCAAACCGATTGGCGGCTGTGGCGTAGAGAAATAAAGAAAAAAAAAGAAAAAAGGCAGCTGTGGCGCAGTTGGTTAAAGCAACACACGAAATGGTGAGGTCGGTGGTTCAAGTCCCATTGCAGTTATCGATACTTTCTCTTTTTTTTTTGTTCACGCATGTATTGTTTTAACATTTGCGCCTCCTGATCAGCCCGACTTGCTGCTAGTAGTGCTGCCGTCCACAGGCCCTTTAATATTGGATCTTCGATGAATCTTGCAGGATTGACTATATTATGATAAAGTGTTTTGCGAATTAGTGCTCTTAATCGGTGAGACGCAAAAAGACACAAAAACTCGAATGCAGCTGGCTGCATTGGTTTCTTCAGCACAGGTGTCAAGAATATTGATTTCCACGGTCTATTAAAGTTTTGATGACAGAAAGGTGCACTGCAACGTAGTCTCTGGCAACTTCTTTTATGTCGCTCAGTGTACCATTACCTGACGAGGTAACCGGCAGGCCGCTTTCTTTAAAAATACTGACGTGTCACCGCAATGTTCTCGGCGATCAGCACTTGACAAACAATCCCCAAGGGCAAGTGCCGAGGGCGTTAGCCCATCTAACTACTTGTTTGTCTTGCTCAATAAGACGCGCGGCCTGTGACAGCACGGGAGCATTCCCGTAGCAACGGTTGAGAACGGCCGTACGTGTTCGCACTTGACAAAACAGACAGCAATGCAGTAGCTTTGGCCTTCGTAGATCACAGGCTTCATAAGAACATTACAATAAAGTTGTTTCCATCCACCGTATGAACACTTCGCCGACGCACTGGGGTTTCATGCATCTGCGTCCGGTCAGTCACATGTGAACCGTGCGAAAGCATTTATTTCATCATCGAACTTGTCCTTCGCGACAAGCAAAACTCAGCAGCAAGAGCACTTTCACCTTCGACAACACCACGCTTGGCATTGCAATCTAGAAAACGCAGTACGTCCAACGATTGTAATCCGCACATCACACTGAGAAACTTTATGGCGCACACACTCAGATGAAGCTACGGTGCGGTGGACGGCCGCGCTAGTTCCAACCACCAGGTTCAACTAAGCATCCAGCAATCACATGAAGCAGCGACGACACTTCAGTCCTCCTGGGGAGTGGCCTAGGTCATGGCCACGATTTCATCGGAGTTTTCACCACCTAACACATCGCAGGCGGCTACCGTTTTCACCACCTAACACATCGCAGGCGGCTACCATCTCGCAGTGTTTACCTTTCGCAGCTGCATGGGGAGCCTACATACGCCGCGCCGCGCCTACGACGAAGGCGCGGCGTATGTAGGCTCCGTACAGCTGCGGCACCCATGGCGCCCTCTGTATTCAAAATACTTGTAATATGTGGCTTGTGGCTGGTGCCGCGCCAGCGTGGCAGAGCACGAGCGAAGAGAGACGATACGCACGACAGCTGCTCAGCTAACGAAAAGGGGCCTCCCACTTGATTCGGGGCAAAATATATACAATCTCAGGGGCGCCACCTGCTAGTGGCGGCCGAACTAAATGACTGAAGGGTGGCGACCTCTACATCTCCCCCCTTGAAGACCAGACGGAAGACGGAGGACGCCAGACACTGCACATCACAAGTTCAGGCGGTTCGGAGGCACAACACGGCGGCCACTACGTGTTCGTGTCACACCATCACTGCGGTCACTGTCTGCAGGTGGCAGTCCAAGGGAATCGGGTGGTTGCACTGTAGTAGTTCGCTGGGGTTCCAGAGGAGGCAGTGTTCGCTCTGGCTCCTGCTGCTCAGACGGCGGTGGTTCCACCCTTGGCGCAGGAGGTGCAAAAGGCACTAGGTGACGCCGGTTGCGCTGTAGGACGCCACCCTGCTTCGTTTCCACGACATAACTTCGTGGTCGGCGTGCTGGGCTAAGCACTGTAGCTTTGACCTGATCAGGTCGTACCCAGACACACTCGCCTGTTCGGAGCGATGACAGATCTTGAGCTCTGTGATGCCTGTTAAAGTCAGCGGCCTGTTTCTGCTCGTAGGCTGCATCTTTTCTCCTCACGTCTTTCCTTGACGGCCAGTGAGGACATAACTGGGAGTCCTGTTTCGGCACTTTGGTTCGGAGTTGTCGTCCCATCAAGAGCTGGGCCGGGCTTAAGCCATCGACTCTGGGGGTGTCCCGGTAGCTGAGCAAGGCCAGATGAGGGTCTGTTGCTTTGCGAAACAACTCCTTGATTGTCCTGACCATTCTCTCCGCCTCTCCGTTCGATTGCGCATAGTGCGGGCTGCTGGTGACGTGGTCAAAGCCGTAAGATGCCGCCAATGCTGCAAACTCGCGTGAAGAGAACGGTGGACCATTGTCTGATCTGACTTCTCGCGGAACCCCATGCCGGGCAAAGATGCTTTTGAGAACGTCGATGACTGCCTGAGCCGGTGTGCTCCGCAAGGTTACAACTTCAGGGTACCTGGAGTGGTAGTCCACCACCAAGATGAATGTCTGGCTGCGGAGGTGGAACAGGTCCACGCCGACAAGTTCCCAGGGACGTCCAGGTAGGACCGTGGAGACCAGGGGCTCTGCATGGTTCACCCGAGTGGAAGCACATTGCTCGCAGTTAGTTACCAGAGAGGTAATGTCTGCCGAAATGCCAGGCCACCAAATGGACTCTCGAGCGAGAGCTTTTGTCCTGTTGATGCCTTGGTGTCCTTCGTGCAACAGCGTCAAAACAGCCGGCCGAAGAGAATGCGGGATGACCATCCTGGCGCCTTTCAGTAGAACACCGTCGCAGACAGAGAGCTCATCTGCTGCTGAGGCATACTGGGAGAGGTGCAGTGGCAGTTTGGACTTCTGTGGCCAACCATTCTGGCAGAAGGAGGTGAGGGCTCTGCATTCGCCATCGGACTCTTGAGCTTGTCGCACGTCCTCTGGGCTTAGTGGCGAGGCTTCTGACATGCCGCTGACCACTTGAGCTGCAAACAATTCCACGGTGTCCAGGGGGAGGGACGCCTTCTGGGTGATGCGTGACAAGGTATCTGCCATAGCTAACAGCTTTCCTGGCACGTGGAGCATTCGGAACTGGTATCGCATGGTCTTTAACCTGAGCCTCTGTATGCGAGGCGGCAGCATGTCTAGCTCCATCTTGCCGAAGAGAGAAACGAGTGGTAGGTGATCTGTCTCAACATCGAAGGTGATGCCGCGGACGAATTCATCAAACCGTTGGATAGCCCATGTTGTTGCCAACGCTTCCTTTTCTGTCTGGCTGTAACGCTGCTCTGTCTCGGTCATTTATCTCGAAGCAAACGCAACTTGGCGGCGCTCTCCTGCGGGCTGTGTCTGCAGCAAGACTGCGCCCAGTCCGAATGAGCTTGCGTCAGCCGAAACTGTGGTGGCGTATGATGAATGGTACTTGGCCATGCAACGGTCTGATGTCAGGAGTTCCTTGATTTTCTCGAATGCAGCATTTTGTTCATGCTAACACACCCAAGTCGCAGACTTGTTTAGAAGTGCTCTGATGAGAGCTGTGACCTCTGAGATGCAAGGCAAAAACCGGGCAAGATGGTTCACCATTCTGAGCAGTTGCCGGACACCTGCGATGTCGGTTGGAGCCTCCATGGCTTTGATTGCTTCGACCTTGGCTGGACTTGGCTTGATGCCTTGTGCTGAAACGATGACTCCTAGGAAGGAGACTTCGGAGACACCAAAACGACACTTGTCTTGGTTCAACGTGAGGCCTGCTTTTGCAAGGCGAGACAGCACCTGGCTCAGTCTGGCATCGTGCTCCTCGCGGGTGCGCCCAAAGACCAGAATGTCGTCTATCATATTGGCGACTCCTTCCTGGCCCTCCAGCATCCTGGCCATCTGTTTTTGGAAGTACTCCGGCGCGGAGGTGATGCCAAAGGGGAGCCGGCAGAAGCAGTATCGGCCAAATGGGGTGATGAACATTGTGAGCTCTTGGGAGTCTGCAGATTGTTTAACCTAATGAAAACTGGCTGTTGCATCCAGCTTGGAGAAAACTGTTGCGTCGCCAAGGAGGCCAAGGACTTGCTCTACAGTTGGTAGGATGTGGCGTTCCCGAAGGACAACCTTGTTCAGCTGAGTCAAGTCAAATGATGATATATGTTGTTTAATGGCGCAAGGGCCATTGATGGCCAAAGAGCGCCAGGAGATGATATGGGATGAGAGCAATGGTTATGATAAATGGCTGTAAAAGGGCCTAAAGTTCTGCGCTCTAAAGATGCGTAAGACATACATTTATTAAAATCATGAAAGTGAAGTGAAGCATGCCTGGTGAGAATGGGTCTTTAATTGTCATTACATCATAAAATAGGAGCGTTATAATTAGCACCGATTTCTCGCCAGTGCCCTTGGTCCCAAGGGCCGAGAGACAGGTGCTCTTTTGGATGTAGCATCCGCAGCAGCAGCCTCCTTTCGGAGGCCGTGCTACCGATCACTTGAGTAAATAACATGGAAAGTATTTACTTCCTTTAGGAATGCATTCAATGCATTATACTTAAAGAGAGGTTCGCGACCAAAAAACATAGCTGGGTGAAGGGGTATGTGCTCCTTGTACGCTAGTGTAAAATGTTTTTTCCTGTAAGCCTCTAGCTCAGAGCATTCAAGGAGTATGTGAAGTACGGTAAGTGGACGGCCACATCTGTGACAGCTGGGTGGGTCACCACCAGACAAAAGGTGTGTGTGCGTGCTGTGTGTATGTCCTATTCTAAGCCGACAGAGACTGACCTCTGTGCGGCGTGTTTTCGACATGGGTGGCCAGTTACCGAGGTATGGTTTAATCAAGTGTAACTTGTTATGAGTTTGTTGATCCCATAACTTCTGCCAGTAGGCCCTGAGATTTTTTCGTATGTTTGGTTTTAGGTCCATTATAGGGACAGCAACTGAAGAGTTGGCGGAGCTTCCGTTAATTGACGTAGCGAGCTGGTCGGCCAACACATTTCCTTCGATCTCGCGATGTCCTGGCACCCAGCACACGACGATATGCTGCTTGGAAGTATAGGCCGCGCAGAGTACCGAATAAAGGGATATAATTATAGGGTTTCTGTGTTTTTTAAGATTTTTCAACGCCTTTACGACACTCAGGGAGTCTGTGTATATAACTACCCTTGGCGTATTCAATTTTTTGATGTGTTTAACGGCTACGAATAACGCGTAAGCCTCGGCTGTAAGAATGCTTGTGCTGGTGGACAGAACGCCGGCATCCGAGAAGGATGGGCCGACCGCCGCATAGGACACGCCAGTATGGGACTTGGATGCATCAGTATAATATTCTGGACAGTCATATTTATGTTGCAGCTCTAAGAAATACATCCGAATGTGTATGGGGGAAGCATGCTTTGTGACAGCTACGAAAGTTGTGTCACAGTCTATAACCTGCCACTGCCATGGCGGGAGCCGCAGAGCAGGGGGGCTGAGGTGGTATTCAAGCAGTGGGACATCTGTTTCTTCAGCTAGGTCTCTGACACGCAGCGAGAAAGGGCGTGCAATTGCAGGTCGATTGTAAAAAAGTTGAGAGCTGGACAGGTCGTTGATGGTGGAATACGCAGGTTGCTCACTGTTTGCATTTACTTTAAGGAAATACATGAAGGAAGAATAAGTTCTCTGCAGATGGAGTGACCACTCGTCCGATTCCACATAAAGGCTTTCAACTGGGCTTGTTCTAAAGGCGCCTGTGGACAGGCGGATGCCTTGATGATGAACAGGGTCCAACATTTTCAGAGCGCTTGGCGTGGCAGAGTGATAGACTATTGCCCCATACTCAAGACGTGAGAGTATAAGGCTTCTATACAGATTCATGAGGCACTTTCTGTCGCTGCCCCACGTTGTTCGTGACAGCACCTTCAGGATATTCATTGTTTTCAAGCATTTATTTTTAAGATGTTTTATGTGCGGTACAAAGGTTAACTTCGCATCTAAAATTATACCTAGGAACTTATGTTCTGTGTTTACGGGTAGACGCTCACCCTTAACGACCAGTTCAGGCTCAGGGTGCAAGCCTCTTTTTCAAGAAAAAAGGACACACGTGCTTTTCTGTGGGTTCAGTTTAAACCCGTTTTCATCAGCCCATTTGGATATCTTGTTAAGGGCGAGCTGAACCTGTCGCTCACAGATCCCAAGAGAACACGATTGAAAACCTATCTGCACATCGTCGACACATGTTGAATAAAAAATATAACGTGGAATGTACAGACGGAGAGAATTCATTTTTATTATAAAGAGCGTACAGCTGAGCACCCCACCCTGTGGCACTCCGGTTTCCTGTACAAACGTTCGGGACAGAACATTGCTCACTCTAACGCGGAAGGTACGATCAGACAGATAGCTTTCAATGACACTGAACATATTACCATGTATACCTAAGTGTGAGAGGTCTCTCAATATTCCAAACCTCCACGTGGTATCGTAGGCCTTCTCCATGTCGAGGAACACAGATAAGAAAAACTGATTATGAACAAAAGCCTCACGTATGTGTGCCTCGATACGTATAAGATGGTCGGTGGTAGATCGGCCCTCTCTAAACCCGCACTGGTATGGGTCGAGCAATTTGTTTGTTTCTAAGTAGTGGAGTAAGCGGCAATTAATCATTTTTTCAAATAGTTTGCAGAGGCAGCTTGTTAATGCTATGGGTCTATAACTTGATACAGTAAAGGGATCCTTTCCCTGCTTCAAAATTGGAATTATAACAGCCTCCTTCCAGGAGGAGGGGATCACACCTGAAAACCATATGCGATTATAAAGACAGAGGAGGGTTTTTTTAGTTTCGGAGGATAGTTCCTTCAGCATCGCGTACATTACATTGTCAGAACCTGGGGTAGATGTATTACAGGAGCTGAGTGCTGTTCGCAGTTCTGCTAAGCAGAATGGTTGATTGTATGCCTCATTTCTTGTGGATTTTCTTTCTAACTTTTGTTTTTCTTTTCGTGCCTTGTAATTCTGAAAGGATTCGGAGTAGTGTGAGGAGCTCGATATGTGTTCGAAATGTGTGCCAAGAATGTTGGCTTGATCCTCCAAGCTTTCCCCGAGGCTATTTACTAGTGGAAGGCAATACGTTTGTTGGCCCTTAATTTTCTTGACCTTATTCCACACTTTTCCCTCATCTGTGTACGAGTTGATACTCGATATAAAGTTTGTCCAGCTCTCTCGTCTAGCTTGTCGACGCGTTCTCCTTGCCTGCGATTTGACCCGCTTGAAATTTTCCAGGTTTTCTGCTGTAGGGGAATCGCGAAGCAACGCCCAAGCTTTGTTCTGAGTGGTTCGTGCTTTCCTGCATGCGTCGTTCCACCATGGGACTCACCGTTTAGAAGACATGCCGCTCGTTTTGGCAATACATTTAGATGCGGCATCAAGTATAAAAGCTGTAAAATACGTGACAGCGTCATCTATGGTCAGGGCAGACAGCTCAGTCCATGTCATGTGTGTAAGAGTTCTATACCCTTCCCAATCAGCCGAGTCAATCTTCCATCGAGGAACCTGCGGGGGTAGTTGTTCTTTGTTCGGCGCACTCAGGATGATTGGGAAGTGGTCACTACCATAAGGGTTTTTAAGAACTTTCCACTTAAAAACAGGTAAAAGGGACGGTGATGAAATGCTAAGATCTATGGAGGAGTACGTTTTGTTTGCAAAGCTAAAATACGTAGGCTCCTTTATATTTAAAAGACATAAACTAGAAGAGAAAAGGAGCTGCTCAATGAGACGTCCTCGCGCATCACAGTGAGCATCGCCCCACAGGACATTGTGTGCATTAAAATCACCTAGAACCAGAAACGGCTCTGGGAGTTCATCTAATAACGATTCTAGATCACGTCTGTGTAGCTGTTGATGCGGTGGTATGTACACAGAACATATGGTAATGAGCTTGTTAAAAAGTACAGCTCGAATGGCCACTGCCTCAAGGGCTGTTTGGAGCTTCAAATGCTGGCATGCTATACTACGATCAGCTATAATGGCTACACCGCCAGATGGTACGACAGCATCCTCCCGGTCTTTTCGGAAAATAATATATTGCCGTAGGAAGTCCTTGTGCTTAGGGGTTAAGTGCGTTTCTTGCACACATAGCACTTTCGCGTTAAACTTACTCAGAAGTTCTTGGACGTCATCTAAATTTCTAAGTAATCCTCTTACGTTCCACTGTATGATTTTGTCCGTAGTGGAAAAAAAAGAGAAAAAGTGCTGTGTGCAGAAAAGACGGAGATTAGCTCATTTTACAGGGCCTTTGTCAGGCCCTGTAATCGGCGTTCTGTCTTTTTTGGGGCGGTCGAGAGAAGCTCGCCGCTCCTTCGGCGCTCCCTGCGCCGTTTGGCATGAACTGGTGTCCATAGCCTCTTGCGAGGCACTGGACGCCCGCTCTACAGAGCGATCTGTGCGTCGCTTAGACTTCGCTTCAATCGACGAAGTCTTTGTCCCCACCGAGCTGGGGGTCGATAAAGCCCCCTTGGCCTCGTGATTGCCCTGGCTGCCGTTAGAGATTGTCGAGGTCGCTGGTGTGGACTGGCTGAATGTGGGCAGGGCAGCGCTAGCTGCTCCCGCCGTAGGGGCTTGTGGCATTGGCCTCGGCACGCTAGGCGAGGTCCGGGCAAATGCCAAAGGCCTTTGTGGTGCCGCCCCTCTTTGCACCACTTCGGCAAAAGGTGTTTTTAGTGCCAATGTTAGTGAGACCCGTTGTCTTGCTTCCTTGTATGTGATATTTTCCTTTACTTTTATAGTTATTATTTCTTTTTCTTTTTTCCAGGCTGGGCACGCTCTGGAGTATGCGGGGTGACTACCTTCGCAGTTAGCACAGAGGACCTCACCATGACTACATTCATCAGCACTGTGGCCGGTTGTGCCACACTTAGCACAGATCAGCTGCCCTCGGCAGCTCTGGGATGCATGACCGAATCGCTGGCATTTGAAGCAACGCCTCGGGTTTGGAATGAAGGGTCGGACATGGAGTTTTATATAGCCAGTTTCCAGAGTCTCAGGTAAAGTGGTTGAGTTGAAGGTGAGTATTAAGTGCTTTGTTGCTATTTCGTTGTTGTTGCGTCTGATTATGATGCGCTGGACATGTATTACACCTTGGTCCTTCCATCCATCAAGAAGCTCTTCTTCACTCAGTGTCATCAAATCTTCGTCCGATACCACGCCCTTCACTGTATTCATTGTACGGTGTGCACTCACAGAGACGGGGATGTTACCAAAGGCCACGATGTGCGAGAGTTTATTGTACTGTTCTTTGTCTTTTGATTCGAGAAGCAGATCTCCACTTGCCATCTTCGTGGCCTTATAACCGGTTCCAATGGTCTCTCTCAAGCACTTGGCTACAAGGAAGGGTGAGATTGCTCTAGCTTTTGTAGATGATTGTTCGCAGTGGAGGACATGGTATTTTGGAAAAGTTTCTTTGTTTTTGGGCCAAAGTAGGAATGTTGCATCGGTGCGTACCCTTTTCGAAGCACGATCAGTTAAAGAGGGGGTCGGGGATCCCATGAGAAAGTGTGTATTTTTCGGTAACGGCGCCTACCACCCACCACGGAGTCCAACGAGGGGACGTGGCAGAGCATGTGGGCATGTCTGCGCAACGCCAGTAGTACGCAGTTACTATAACCCAATATGGTTTACCCTAGTTTGGATAGCCACACAAGGTTAACCCTTGCCGCCAGGAAAAATTGGAAGTAAAATGAAGTGAGGAGAAGACAGGAAAGATGTAAAGTGAGAACAAAAGACGAAGATATAGGGAGAGAGAGATAGGAAAAGGCGACTGCCGATTTCCCCTGGGTGGGTCAGCCCAGGGGTGCCGTCTACGTGAAGCCGGGGCCAAAGGGGTGTGTTGCCTCTGCCGGGGGGCCTTAAAGGTCCAATCACCCAGCGTCGGCTCAACCCCCAGGATCCCCTTTTCCCCGGACACGGCAAAGCCACGCACGGCTAGGCGTGGGAGGGAGTCAGAACTCCCCCGTTAGCTCGGGTCCATGGTGTCGCTACACACCAAACGCCTACTTGTGCAGGCGCCCCTGCGGGGGCTGAGTCAAGTCAACGCACAGCCGGTAGGAACCATCGGCTTTCCGTACTACAACGAGACCAGAGCACCACGGGGTTGGGTTGTCGACCCTGCGGATCACGCCTCCTTCCTCCAGTTTGTCAAGCTCGTGACGGACGACCTCGCGTAGCGGGATGGGAATCCTGCGAGGCACACTTAGGGAGAAGGGTACGGCGTCAGGTCTCAGAAGGATAGTGTACTCGTCCTTGAGGGTGCCCAATCCCTGGAAGAGCTCAGCACGCAATGTTGCTTTCGGAGTCTGAAGTTCGTCGAGAAACTTCACAACTTCCAGAGCTTGAAGCGCCGGCAGTCCAAGAAGAGGTACGGTGAGAGACTGGATCACGTACAAGCGCTGAGAGCTCATTTTCCCGTGCCACCGAAGTCTCGCCATGTACGAACCCAGCACGCGCAGCGGCTGACCGCCAGGTCCGGTGAGCAGGCTGTTGACGGGGTCGAGCTTGGCCGGCAATGTAGGGAAGTCGCTCGGAACGGCGGACACCTCGGCTCCGGAATCGACCTTGAACTGCGCTGTGTAGTTGTCAACGGTGATGTCGACGAACTTTGCCGCGGCGGGCGTCCCGACAGCGTGTAGGTGAATGGAGCCGAGCTTCTGTTTTGCCTGCCGCGCGCGGCACACTTCCGCAAAGTGTCCTTTCTTTTTGCAGAAGTTGCAGACGGAGTTTCGAGCAGGGCAGTTAGAACGTGGATGTGGCGCGCGGCCGCAGAATTCACATGTTGACGGCTGGCAGGAGCGCTCTGCTCTTCGCGGGGGCGAAGGCCGTTTATTGTAGTTGCGGCGGAGAGAGGCGAACTTCTTATCTCGTACGGCGTCGAGAAATAGCTCGCGGGAGTGCTCTGCGCAGTTTTGAGGCAACGTTTTTTCTTTGTCGGCGTCTTCTGATTGACGGGCCTGCATCCATGCTTCTTTGAGCGTCAACTTCGCGTTCCGGCAAAGCTGGTCCGAAAGGCCCGAGTCGCGGAGGCCGACGACGAATCTATCGCGTACAAGCCTTTGCTCCACCTCAGCTGACGGATAGTTGCACCGCTTCACCATTCTACACAGTTCGGCGTAGTAGGCGTCGACGCTCTCGTCGGGTAACTGAACACGCCGGTGAAAACGTGACGACTCGTACAGTTCATTCGCCGGATGCACGAAGTGGTCGGTGAAGCTGGCGGCAACCGCTTGAAATGAGGCGAGTGATGCGGTGTCGAGCGAGGACGTCTCAAGAAGTGGGCGGGCCTCCGGCCCCATGCAGTACAACAACGAGCGTACCTGCATGTCGCCTGATGCTTGAGTCAGGCCGGAAACGACGGCGTAGTCCTCGTAGCGGCTGAGCCATGCTGGCCAGGTTCCCGGGTGCACAAAGTCGAACGGTGCGGGCGGCTAGAGGTTGAGGCTGAGCTTTTTCGGCGCCACTCCGTCGAGGGCCATCGTCGTGCGGTACGGGCGAGTTCGCGATGAGGGGGCGTTACGCAGCCACTTCTGACACCATGTCTTGTGGCTGGTGCCGCGCCAGCGTGGCAGAGCACGAGCGAAGAGAGACGATACGCACGACAGCTGCTCAGCTAACGAAAAGGGGCCTTCCACTTTTATTCGGGGCAGAATATATACAATCTCAGGGGCGCCACCTGCTAGTGGCGGCCGAACTAAATGACTGAAGGGTGGCGACCTCTACAATATGTATTTAAATAACAAACCTAGGCTAACTGACTCGTTACACACGTGCTTAGTAAAAGTTTTGTAAGTTTAACGCATCACGCATGAATAATTTACAAATTTAACTAGCTTTAGCTAATAATTTTTTAAGTGACGTCACTTTCGTGCGGCGCAGGAGCCACTTCTGTGTGGGGATGGCTGCTGCGCCGCGCGGTGCAGGAGACACTGCCATTTTTACAGGCCGTTCAACGAGGGAAAGAGGGAGGGCCGAAGATACCTGGAGAATAATGTCGAACAATAGACACCATGTCAGGTCTTTGGCATACAGTGCCATTTCAAAATATTATTGCTTTCCTTGAATCAAATAAACCTGATGTAAATACAAAAATGGCTCACTGAGCTAACCTACTAGTCAAATCGCTGGCATAAAAATACGCATTGTTAGAATAATGCTTCGTTTCTCTCACTTAAAAAAGAAAAATTGGGGGCCCCTTAAGGTTCGCTTTCAAGAATTGAACACGATAACGATACCCTGGCCCTAGTGAGTACTTCAAGCACTTGGTGCATGAAATCTTTTCGAACTTGGTATGCACTCACTATGTGGTCTGAAGGAAATGTGTGCAGCAAAATGTGTGCGTTTTGTTATGGCTGGCCACCTTTTAACTATGAAGTCCTTAGGATAATCACATGTTCTGATGCCTGATTACAATGCACACATGTATCAAAAAATATTACTGTGATATTACATATGGAATTGTGAACGCAGTATACAGGACACATGTGTTTGCAAACCCTAATGTTACTTTCACTGCATTTTCAAGCAGATGAAGTTATTTTCCCTGAATTTCCAAGCAGATGTGTGGCTGTGCGGTAGAACGCCTGCTTGCCATGCAAATGGCCTGAGCTCGATCCTGCCGTAAACTAGGAAATTTTTATTACTTATTTTATTTGCATCTTTCTTAGTTTTCCGGTTGCTCACAAGGTACATCACTCACAATCAATGACGCTCACGAGATTTTTAAAACTATCACGTTAAAACTGGTATAAAAGGGTGACAATGTATGACTGATTGAATAAGCTTTTACAGCTTATGCCAAATCACATTGGTGTGATGTTGAAATTTCTAGGTCCATTGTTAGACTACCAAATGTCATGACTTTCACTTTTATGTCAGTTTAGGCGTACAGCAATTAACTGGCAGAAAGTGTAAATAGATCTTTCTTTATTTGGAAAGATGCAGAAGTATGATAAAATCAAGCTCCCTTTTCCTTGAGTAATTTTGGTTGTATATGTAATTTGAAATAGTGTTTGAAAATCACAGCAGCTGTGCCATTGCACTGCTTCGTGGCAAAAGCTTAGTACCGAGTTCTGGAGAACTTCTGCACGTTGCCTGCTGCAGCTCAGACAATTGTTAATCTGGCTTAAAATTATATAGTATATATATTGCATTCTCACTTTCAATTTTGGTTACTATGCAGTTTAACTTACCCTTCGTGGGTTCATCGATATTTTTCACATAATAACAGAAATTTGGAGAACTTCATGCCTAAAAATAGTGTGACACAATCTTCACTTAAATATGGCCATCAATTTATAAGAAAAAAGTGGGACGCATGTGGCTCATCGACCCATGAAGCATCTTTGAATAAGTGGGGCAACACCTGTCACATTGCCTCATAAGGGCACTAAGCTGTAATTCTGCTGCCAAATTTCTTGCCCAAAAAGGCCCAATGGAAGCAGTACAGAGGAACACTTCTAAAACTGTGGGAAAAAATTGCAGTGAACCTTAATTTCAGATGTTCTACACAATTCTGCGCCTCTGCCTGTGGCATTGAGTCTAGCGGTTCTGTTCCAAGATCTTAACATACACAAACCCTTTCAGCTTGTGTCTGTCTTGTCAGTAGGTGTAGATAATATTGAAACTCGACGAAGACAAGGAGAAAACAGCAGGCATAGAAGAGAGCACGCAATCATAAGAGAATAAAAAAAATAGAATATTGATTTTCATTCACATTCAACGAAGCTGTGTCTATGCATGTCTTGTCTTGTTTCTGCAACGGATACGGGTGAACATCTCAGTTAAGCCTGCATTTTTGCACATAATTAAAATTTGTGGTAATGAATCATGGAAAGCCACTTCGACGTGGTGTCAATGCACTGAATGCAAGTGCGTTTACAAATGCTGCATAATATTCGTGAACTCTCTTCAGGTGTGACGTATTTGCTTTTCTCATATATCTTGCATGATTTGATGATCTTGAATATTCTTGTTCTCTTTGGCTTCCTGGCTGTATGAAGCAGCAATTTTGCCATATTTTTTCTTTGGCCCGAAGTTTTAGCAACAGTGTCTTAGCCACAGCTTTTGATCTCATTGCCTCTCCTCGTAATGGTAAAAAATATAAAAGAATTTGCTGTTTTGTGACATCCATCAAACAAGAAAAAGACAGTTATGCATGTATGATATGTTGTTAGGCTATGCAAGGAACTGCTTCATTTTTCATTCGAGTGAACTTCCACAATGATTTTAGGCAGATATAATTTTGCAATTTAGAAAGAAAATCTATAGTTGCATGCTAAAATTCTATCAAAATTCTGAACAGAAGAATACCATAAATTTGGAACTTTAGCTACCTTGTACGCAATATGACACCGGCTGAAAATATATTAACAGAACAAAATAATTTTAAGCTCAATGTATCACTGATACCATGCATTGTAAACATGCAATATATAGTTTCTCAGTTTCCTTAATGTTTCTGGTACACCACAGCTGGAAGGCATTGTGCTGATGGCAACATAAAGTGACAGAGAAAGTTTTACAGAGGAAAAGTGGGATGTATTCATCCTAGTAACCCTCAAAAGGTTAAAAAATTGATGCTCAGCAGTGGAGCTTTCTCCACAGCAACAGAAAACCTGCATTGAACCATAGTGCATGCACACACTATCTCTCCAGCATTTATCTCATGCACTCTGTCATGACAGAATTTGGTATAAATGCAGTGAACAGCTGTAGGCCACTGTTTGCAACATGTGTTGCATATAAGACTCCATCAGCAACAAGGTTTGGTGAATACTGTTTCATTGCCTTTTTTGTGTTGCCAATGCGTGATTAGACACTCTGAATTACGAGCTTTCCAGTGACATAAAAGAAATGTACATTAAAAACTTGGTTGGCTGTAGAAAATAATCAGGCCCTCGAAAGCCCCAGAACCGTTAAGAAAAGGTAAATATTCATTGATACAAGCACATTCCTGGAGCTAAGTAGCCAGCTGCGCTACACAACTTCTCAAGTCTTTTCTTATAATGTGCCAGGGCGGATGCTGTGTATCATACTGTTGCACAAGTTTTCCTTTTATTTTGGTGTACTTAAAATTTTAAAACATTAGTAAACTGTTAAAACATATACAGTTTTGCAAATTATGACTGTTGAATCAAACACAAAAAAAATTAAATTTGGAGTGTTAAATCACTGAATATTTCTACAGATCGAATCACACTTTTCTAAAACACCAAGCCGACCGCTGCAGCTGCTGTTTTCTGCAGAAATATGTTAATGCCGACGCCGTATGAATATTTACCATGGCATACGGTGTGCTAGGCCTTTGTGCGATAAAAATAAGCGTGAACAGAAGCATGTAGCTAAGGTGACATAGAAGCCGTCGCTAACAAGAGCCATGCGCTCCGCTGCTCTGGACAAGTGTGATTCCACCTGTACACCTGCAGTGTTGGCATTTTCTTGGTGCACAAAATTCTCCATGTTCACTTTACATTTGGTCCATGATATAAAAACATGGAAAGATGCAAATAAAAACAATAAGAAGAAAAGAATAAGAAGAAAAGTTTAAAAACATTTCATGCACATAGTTGCTCGTGGTTTAAAGCATACTACCCAGTGGCTGTATTGCGTGGTCTATCCTGGGTCCCATCTCCGCGCTCTTCAAAGTAACTATGTGTACGTGTCAACAAGCTCGCTTAGCCACCATTTAGAAATCCATTACACAGACTGCAGCTATATGCGAAACCCTTACTGGCACAAGCCACTTTAAACATTGATTAAGTAGTAATACTCTGCAGTATAAACTTTTCAAGTAATGTTATCCCGTAAAAGGTATGCACTAGGTGGTTGGAGTATGCACTAGGGATAGGATATCACTGTCATGTTCTACTCAAACTTTAAGGGTCCTCTAATTTTTTTCACCAAACAATTGTAAGGTTCATATATAGTAATGTTCCACAAGCATGGTTTTGTAAGTTCTCATCCTTTTGGCCTATACTGGAAGAGTGGAGAGGGTGCTGTTAGGAGTGGATTTACAGGCTGTTAAGAGTGGATGGACAAATCTGACAGATTATTGTGCAAGTATGCAAGTATTAGAGATGTCAGTTCAGATTAAATACCTGACAAAGATCACAGGCAGCGGTCCTGATAGATGTGGACTCTTGAAAGAGTTTCATGCTAGGAAAGAAGTGATGTGTCATTGACTCATCTGTTGAAACTTGGAAGGTCAAAAAAGTTTTTCAAGCATAGTTATGTGACATTTCTTGACAGTACATGACTGTGACATCGCACACTTACACACTGCACATGTGTCTGTTTC